GCTGACACAAACATAGAAATATACATTTTGTAAAGATTGCAGTACATAGAAAGGGTGTGTTAATGAATCTGCACACTCATACTTTCTCTCCAAGGCATGATTTATTTGTTTTCTAATTCCAATTATGGTATGACCTAAAAGAAAAATTGTCATGTCCACTAGATTGTATTTACTCACAGTTTCTTGGAAAACAAGATAATACTAATATTTAGTACAAGACAGCTTATAGTTGGAAACAGCTCACAGAAGCATCTTTATTAGATTATGGAGAAGAAAATTTGAACTACATTCTAATTAAAGAACAGAACATGTCCCTATTTCTTGGATTTGGTTTGAGTGCTTTCTATGTGTCTTTATATATTTATAAAAAATGGTTCCAGAGAGGGAATGGCTGTACCTTCCCTTAATAAACTAAAATCCAGGAACTGTCATCATTCCTACAGTGAATCATCACATCCACTTATGTCAGTAAGTGTTGCCACTGATTAAACAAGACTATATTTCTTCAACTAAACTTGAGAAGTACACAAGAATCCATGGTACAAATGGGTAGCTTTAGTGCTGTTCTCAGTGCTGTCTGGCTTGTACCCAGGCTCTGTGGGCAATGGGTATCAACAGAAACTATAAAATAAGTAAGACGAACAATCTCAAATTAAAGTTAACAAAAAGAAGACTACATTTTTATAAGAACCTTGCATACAAACCTGTAAGATGAAGTGTTTTCATGATCTAGGACTGTATTAGTTGTTAAAATGCCTCGTGCTGAATCAATTAGAAATGCTGCATTTTCATTACCAGATAAAATTGAGTATTCAGTTTCTCCATTCAGCCCACTGTCAAGGTCAGTTGTAAATACCTGTTTGGGAGCAAAACTGAGGCTTAATTCAAAATGGCAGAATGTGATTTCAGAAAGAAAAACCTTATACTACAGTCATCTACTTCACAGAATCACAGAATGGTAGGGGTTGGAAGGGACCTCTGTGGGTCATCTAGTCCAACCCCCC